ATCAAATGATTCTTATAATAACTAGAAAAACTTATTTTTTGACAAATTATCTTTTTTAGCAATCATACTTCATATTTTGTGATTGTGTTGCTTCTTTGAATAATATTGAGCAGTGTGTTTAGCTTTTCCACAATATAAGCATAAAGCCTCTTGACAAGATCAAGTCTTTTCTTACTCAATGAGGGATTTAAAACATACTATATCAATTTGCATTGATTTTGGCCTTAATAAATAAGTTTCTAAAAACTTGAAAGCTACCTTCATTATTTAACTTGTTCTTCTCTAGGCAAATCTTTGTTTTTGACATCTTTCAAATAATCAATTGTCACATGTAATGGCTTGAGTAATAAATTATTTCAAAGATTTTATTTTTTTCATTGTCAATAACAAATCTTTGATGTTATTCTTCAACCCATATCAAAATTAATTAATAAGGGCTTTGTTATTTTAGTCTAAATTACAAGCAAGGTTTTGAAATTCAACATCATATATGATAGGTCACTGTGATCCTTGTTGTATAGATAAAAGTTTGAACTTTGCTACTCTTTCTTGATCATTTTTTTCAAATGTACCTTAAATACTTCTAGGAATGAATTCAAATTATAAAAGAGTCATGAATCTTTTTTCATTAATAATACAAATTAATAGTATATTTTTTTTTTAAATTACATTTTTAGAGAAAAATATGCCTATAAATCTAACTTGAGTAAATCCATTAAGATATTAGAAGGAATGTAATTTTAGATAGAATTTGACTTATTGCAAAAATCTTCAAAATTTTAATCTTGTTCCATAAAAATTATTAGGCATACTAATCCGTATTTCTATTATACTTATAGAAGCAAAACTTATTAAATTTTGTTATGAGGTCAATCTACTTGCTTCTTTCAACTGTACAACTTCATGCCATAGATTTTTATTTTTTTTTCATAGGACATAGGATTAGTATTTTTGTAGTTAGTGTTAGTGATGCATGAAATTTTCACTCTAAGAGTATTGAGAAGTTCGTGGAGATCTGCAATAATTACAAATCTATTCTCATTTCTACTAAGTGTAGCATTTATAAATTTTTCTTTCTTTTCAAATAACTTAACAAATCTACAAGTCAAATTAGAGGAGAATAATCCATAACCTCTAATATTGAATGAAAATTTCCAAAAAGAGGGATAACTTGTTCTTTTTAAGAAAAAAAATTGGTATTGAAAAACTAAAAAATTTATTTAAAGGTGGATAATCTGCAACCTTCAAAACACAACAATAGAAGTGGGATAATTCACTCACTTCCAAAACAAGACAAGAACAATAAATTAGCACTCTTGCCAAACTGTCACAGAAATGAATCTCAAAGAATTAAAATATCAATATATTCTTGTATTACTTGAAAAGACTAAAAAATCACTCAAAGGTGATATAGTATTAAACTAGAATGGCTATTTGCCAAAGACAAGAAGATTAGAAAGTTTTGAAACAAGGTTAAGGACTAAAAAGGTCTTGATAAGAATAAAGAAGGATTCATTCTTGCCTCTATATATACTCTTAACTAAGAGCTATGTAGCAATGTCCTATACGACCTCTAAAATATGTTGACTTTGTAAAACATATATTTTAACTTGCAAGGCAAGTTTTCTATATGAGGGCCAAATAGTTAGCTTATTTCCCAAGTTATTAACATGGGATTAACTTGTTGACCAAGTTTCTAACCTACTAATCAATTACAAATACATATAAAGTCAAAATAATATATATGAAGCTTCTAAGAAGCATCTCTAAAAAATATTTTGAAATAAATCTACTTTTATCTACTTCTACTTAATCATATAGATAAATATTAGAGTAAATATGTATGTCCATAATAGCTTGCTGATTGGCACTGACCTCCAAAGAAAGCAAAATCATAAGGTATGGCGAGGTCGCTGGCTTTACCATGTGCTGGAAAGTAGAGGCAGAAGTAAAGGTGATAGATTTAAAGGAGATATATCAAAAGATATTACTTTTGGAATTATTCTAAAATTTGTGCCAAAATAATGAGTGTTTGAAGATCCAATATGTTGATAGAATTAGGGATACTTTTGGAGTTCAAAGTATGAGGGTTGCAAAGTCAATGTTACACAGAAATATTTTGAATCAAGTTCTTCCTTTAACATGATGTCACAAAAAGTAATTATTACTTCATTATTAATTTGTTGTACTTTATAGCCTTTGTTAAAGATGCTATAATCCAAAATTTTATATTCATGCATTTTGTTGTCAAGTTTAACTCAAAGAGGATTTAGAATTTTGGCAAAACAAGGACTATCAAATATACAAAGATGTACAATGTTGGGCTTCTGTATATGCCAAAGTTCAAAGAAAATTGTGCTAGGTGAAATAACATTTGTAGGGCAGTAATTTTGCAAATAAGTTGCACAAATGATGGCTTTATCTTAATAAGATTTTGATAATTTAGATTCATGAAGGAAATATCGGATAGCATTGAAAAAATATAATTTTTTTTCTCCAATGCTGTTTTAATATAGAATATAATCAATGATGAATTGATATTGTATGGCATGGGCCTTTAAATATTAATTAAAATTAGATGATAGATATTTTCTTTCTTAATTAGATTGAAGAATACAAAGTTTATATCCCATTTGAGTTTCAGCTCAAGTATGAAAAATTTAAAATATAAGGAAGTACTCACTTTTTTGATAAAGAAGTCAGAGCATAATATAGCAAGAAAAATCATCTATAAAGGTAATATAGTATTCATAGCTTAAAAAATTAATATTGCAATATGGCCAATTAAATCTAAATATATTCTTTTAAGAAATTAAATGACACAAGTTATAGCAATTTTAAGAAACTCGATTACTATTTGCTTGTTATGAATACATGTAAAACATACTTGTTGTGGAACATGTATTAAAGATAGTTTGATGACCACTTGATTTTTTACTAGTTGTTTTAAGTGGCTTGTATTTATCATTTGGAGTGTTGTTTTGTAGTTTTATATGAGTTTTGGGTAAAAATTTGATATCATTACTCAAAAGAGTGACCATATTAGATTAGATATTACAATATTGAAGTATAGTAGTACCTAAGAGATAAAGACTGTTTTAAAGTGGACAAGAAGCCAACAATAAGTCATCTTATATAAAAATACAACACATCCAATTTTCAAAAGCATACCTTCTCTTTGTTCATTATGGTTACAAATTGAAAATAAATTTTTATATAGATTTGAGACATAGACGACATTGATGAAATGGATAATTTTTCCATTTATCATGGATATCTCTACATTGCCTTTGTTGTAAATTGGAAGTATTGTAACATCTTCAAGATGAATTATATTTTTGATAAATGAGAGAGATTCAATGTTTTTTTTTTTTTTATTATTTTTTTTTTTGTGAAATAAGTGATATATGGCTCTAGTATCAATAAACCATTTGCCATCTTTTATTTTCCTTGATTGTAGAGATTTCTTGGAATAATACATACGTGTAAGATAAACATGAGAATAAAACATAGGAGGCATTTCCTCTAAATTTTCTTACTTTTATTTTGAATTTTTATTGTTATAAGATGTGATTATTGTATTGGCAGATAATTTGATTTTATTATTTTTTGTAAAATATTTTGAACCCCAATACCCCATCTTTTTGCAATGATGATATAGAGTTGTTGGTTTTAACTTATTCTTCAAATTTTTATAGTCTTTTTGTAGTTGTTTTGCAATGGATTGTGATAGCTAGTTTCTCTTGCTTTTAAGATTTGCAAAGAGCACTTGAGAGTTTAAATGATTGTGCCATATTGAAATGGCATTGACCTCATAAGAGTGAAGATTTTTATTTGAGATAAAATTATTACTCCAACCGATTGACATTATTGAAGTAATGTTCTAAAATTGTATACGTCTTGTATTACTAATTCTTCCACATTCATTTTTTGTATGATAAACTTTTCCTAAGGATAAGCTTGAGTGACAATGCCACTTAAAAAATATATATTTTTGAGTGCAAGCCAAGCTTCATTGGTTGTTTTGCTTGCTCCTATGTGGGAGAATATAGAATTGTCTACACAATCCCATATGGTCACTAAAGCAATATGATCTCTTTTTTTCCACGTAGTAATGGCAGCTTGATTTGTTGGTGGAGATGTTGTTGTTGCATTGATTTCTAGAATAGGTGAGGGTTGTTCTTCTACACCAAAGACTAACTCCCATAATTCTTCCATCTCAAATTTCATTTGTACTTTTTGCCTCCAAATCGTATACCAAGAACTGTCAAATTTAGGCCTCTCCTTGATGATAGGCTAGTTATAGCCATATTGAAGGGAAGGAAATTTTTTTTGGAGCCCCAGTTTTCTGTGAAGAACGTCTTCACAGAAAACTTGTAAATTCCTTCTCCTTGTAAATTTTTATTGTATTTCTGGAATTTGTGTTACTAAATTCGCAAAGTTTTGCTTTGATACCATAATAGAATTACGTGAAGGTCTGAGCTATCACAGTTGCATAATTCATTAATTATAATATTGTTTGAACATGGTTTATCCAGTAACTGTTGCTACTCCACGACTCGATGATCCTATCGTTTCATCTGATTACAGTTACTGTTACTATGTTAGTAATTCTATAATCTAATACTCAGGAGCCACTAGTCATCCAATGCTTGCACCATTGCTTCAGTCGTAACATTGTTGCCGTTATTGATGTTATTATTTTGTTAGATTCTGATTCGGTGTTACTTTTGGTTTCTAAACAATGATGAGTGTAGTGGAGTGTGTTATTCTAAAAGCACAAATACATCATGATGAAGTTAATGTTTTGGGGGTTTAGAACGAACATAAATATATAGGTGTAATTGCCATCAATTCTTTGGGGCTTGTGAATGTAAAAGTAAGGGTCTGATTTGTTTCCCATGATTTGTTTCTCATGGATTGTTCAATTGTGGAAAAATGCATATTTTTTTAAGAAATCATGTTACTGGTGACGTTACTGCAACCCTCCATTCACCGTGTTACAGATCAATTCAACTCTGCAGGTTGGTTTTATTAGAAGAGATTGAAGTGCATCTGAAAGCAAGCAGCTGTTCCGTGCAAAGACTGCAAACGCACTGGAATCTAACATCACTAAGACTGCGAGAATGCAAGCTTACACAAGAGCAACTTATCACAGAACTCCACTGCTATCACATGGATGTCGAAGCTGTCATGTGGATGCTTCTGGGCACATGCTCAGTGTGTGGATTAGCCACTGGGGTGTATGTTGTTACAATTGGGACAAATAGATCATTCACCAATTACAGTAAGCTCATTCTAGTGCAGCTTGTTGATTGTACAGTATATACCACATATATAACATTATGCCAATCTTACGGGAAAGCCACTACGCAAAACTCCCGTCACAGTTTGTTCATCAATCGTGTGCAAGAGGGTTGGTTATGCATGTCACGTTTCACTGATTGCTATGCACAAGAAGTCAGCCAAGCCTGATTTGAAGCCACAATTTTCTTAGCTGTGTTATTGAACTTCCAGATGAGGAAGCGGAAGTCTCCAGCAGACAGCATAATGAACCATGTTTAATTCACGCCGGATTTGTGCAGTAGCATACGGAGATGATCGAGCCTTGCTGAGTCTCCAGGTCTGAGACGTCTGTGTCTCAATTGAGCTGCAAGAAATGACGTTGCATTGTTAAATCTAGACCTTGCTCAACTCAACTTCTTTAGGTATGTACATAAATTCAACCCAATCAGACGATTGCACACATTTTTTGGAAAGCTACAGGGAAGTAAAATTTCATTAGAACGAGATCTTTCTCCATACCTTGGAAGATTGAGTTGTGAGGGCAGGTCCATTGCGATATACACTCGGGGGCTCAATGGCCTTACGTCGCCGTTGTCTTTTGAGAATGCGCTTGAGGGCCTTGCCAATTGACGACTGAAAAATACCACAATTGAGAAAAAGATTACTCTCAGCACATGGAAACAAATTTACCAGCACCCAGGCAATCAGCAATTCGTTACGAGACAATGGCGAATCAGGTTTCTGAGAACACAATGCGCGCAGTGTGTGCTCACCATGAATCGAGCTCGTCGGCGAGATCTAGCAGGTTCCGTCTTGGGTTGGGGCGTCTTCTCGTTCCGTTGCTGAGCCTCAAGATTTACCCCCGGTGACAAAAATCCTATGGAATTTGCATGTTCCGAGGATGGAGACACTTCCGCAAATCTATGGCAGGAAATCATGTACCTTTCTCGTTGTGCTGGGTTAGGGCTGTTGCTGCCCGATTTGTGGCATGAGCCTAGCCGTCTTCCTAAGTACTCCAGAAATCGAGGACTGGGGTGTTGAATGAGCTGTTCTCTGGCAGATTTTCTGGCGGAGGAGAGAACTTGGATTGCACCAGCTGGCATTGTGTAGGGAAGCCTCGGCGGACACATCGAAGACCCTTTCTCATTGGAATTCGGGATGTCTAGTTGCAGCAGTGATTGAATAGTGGGTAGAACTTTGATAGCAAGCGGCTCGCCTTCGCAATTGAGGTATCCACTTGAAGTTGGTGCTCTCCGTTTGTCAAGCAGACAAGAGTTGTCCTCAGTAGATGTCGATGTTGTGGTAGCTATCGCAGCTTCAGTAATCTCTCGGGATTGGAAATATTTTGTTGCTGTAGGAGAGCAAACCTCCGAGCTATGGGTTGTTGCATGCAGTCCCTGGCTTTTGTTCTTGTCTACGAGTTTATTCATGGCATCCAGAGGTCCTCTCGTCCTGCAGGAATAGGGCCCTTTTCCGGAGGAGTCCACTGCAGAACGTTGACGGCAAGAGGAATGTGGAGTATGCAAGGCGCTGCACGAAGGACTCACTGTTTCTGGGAAACCCTCCTCAATGGACCCGTAAGAGGAGCTCGATTTGGACTCAGATTGGGACGCTGAACGGTGTTTTTGTCCATTAAAATCCTCCATATCTCCACTCGAGAAATTAGTGTTGGACGCTGAAGTTGAGGTGAGGCTGCTGCTCTCGTCTGGACCACACAAGATGCTCGTGGGTGATGGGGGGGCATAACGGTTTCTGCCCCTCTGTGTCCGTAATGGAGAGTGTGTGGTCTCTGCGCTGATCGAACTTCCAAGTTTCAGACCTGGTGAACTGGCGGTCGATGGTGCATCACCAACTGCCTTATTGGAGCTATCAGGATATGGAACTTTGTCATTGAATGAATCTTCGATGAAAGATTTGATAACTCTGACTTGGCATCCTTCTTGAGGTATAGAAATGCAGCGACCAACGAGACCATGGCGTCGTCGGCGCTGTTCGGGTGGACTGGCTTGTGGTGGCAACCTTGGAGGTAGACTTTTACTTGAAGTATACTGCACTAGCACACGATCACTCTGCCTCAGGACCGGTGCCGATGATGACAAGCAGGGCGCGAAGAATCCGGCTAAGCCAGGGTGGGAAGCCCGAAGCTCCCGAGAAAGGCTTTCCGCGCTGCGGTAGGAGTAGGGGGCTGCGAGCCGAGGAGGCAGCTGCAGCGTTTTAGAGCTTTGTGCTGCGAGACTAGACTCCACTTTGGCTTTCCCTGGGGCATCCTCCCACTCGAAAGGCACAGCAATTGAAGGCGACGACACATATTTGCTAGGGGTGCCCAAGGGTGTATCATACTGTTCAACTAAAAACTTTGACGCTGCAGATCCATCCAGGTCAATGCCAGTTACCCTCGAGTCATACCTTCTGCTCGAGTGTCCCAAGCTCGATTGTCTCGAATGTCCTAACGAATCCGCTGCATCATAGAATCGATGGCTGCTGGTGCACCTATTGTCGCCATAGTCATTGCCAATCCCACAATCTTGCGAACCAATTAATTTTTCATCAGCTCTCTGCGAAGAGTGCAATTCAGATTCCAAACAGTTGCTCCTCGGTGTCCCCTGTTTATGCTGTTTGTGATACTTTACACGCTTTTCGGTGGCGGCGTCGGTCTTGGGCTTACCAGGCTCCACCTCCCACTTGAATGGTATAGCAGCCGAAAAGGAAGGTGAGTGGTCATCAGAAGGGATGTTGATATTCTCCACCGTATCTAGGAATTGCTTCCGAATGCTAACAATCTGCTCTTGTACGGAGCCATTTCTGGACCTCACTGACATTGGAGCGATCGCCTGCTCTTGTGAAAGTCTGGAAGAACTGATGCGAGTTGGTCTGGACGACTGTGATTCACCATCCTTCATTCTCCTCCTGATGGCAATCGGCATGATGTCTAGCTCACCAAACTCGTTCCCCTGTTGGCTGCATCGAGATTTTCTTGGAACCAGGTGCTCCTTGACTGGGGTGGAGTCAGAATTTTCCCCAGAGTCGATCCCTTTCAGCAATTGCGTACTTGACTTGAGCTTGTGCTGGAGGTCATCTCTCTCGACAGCCATTATGGCCATCTCCTCCTGGTAGCTTACCATATCAGCTGACACTAACCCTGGGGTGGACGGACGAGATTTAAAATCACCGAGTTTTCGCTGATTCGTCCCCATAACCGGCGAGTTTGGCACACTTACGGCGACATGCAGGCTGTTGCGTGTCTTGGCCTGCGCCAATTCCCAACCGTCTCTCGATTCCAATTCATCCCGTGCTTGCTCTGCATTCGTAGAGTGCACATTGGTCATGGCACATGCAGGAAATCTGTCGGCGCTTAAAGCTTCCTCCAACTGCCTCGGCGGTTTCAGAAACCCAACAGGGTGTCCACTCAGCTCTAAAACTCTATTCCTAAACCGGAAACTTCCGCCTAAAGTCTCCTTCGAATTCTCGTCGCCAGTTTTCCTTCTGGAGTCGCATGCATCCTCCTCTAGCATTGCCTGCACCTTCTGGCCATCTTGTGTGTCGAGCTCAAAGCGGAAGCTACTTGCCCAGGTGGCGACTTCTGTGCATTTTAGAGGCCATCTACAATCCTCTTTTCCTAGATTAACATCGACGCTGACATCGCTCCTGACACGAGCGTTTCGACTGTTAAGACTCGAGTCCTTTAACTGGGTAGGAAAGTCGGACAGCGGAAGCTCTCCTCCATTAGCATTCAAGCTAGTAGAGTGAGCGGTGCTACTGAGGCGTTCCTCTTTCGCACGCACGGATTCCTGTCGAACATTCAAGATAGCTCGTTGCTTTCTGCTTGAAGTCCTCCTCTTCACATCTCCCTTTCGCCTCTCCATGGCTACGTATAGAAGGAAACGCACAGTAAAACTCAAACGCTACACATGAGCGGCATCAATACTGAGAATTTCTCCGCGTTACAAGCGACTAATTCCCAAATCATTCTCCCACATATAAAGTTTCGAGCACTCGTTTTGAAGAGAATTAACGGTCTCTTCGACATGAAGGCTGCAGAGTACCTGCCACACCCAAGTGCACCACACTGATAAGCACTGCTGCACATGATGTCCGGCAAATACAGATAATCGAATCTGGAAGGAAGGAAAAGCAAACTTCTTCACCCTATCCGAGCGGCACAAAACTTCGGTACAAGATTCAGGTGGGAAAGAGGAGACTGGGCAAGACGCCACACTGGTCGACGTCTGATTGATTGTGATGGGATGAGCAGAGCGTCAGAGTATTGCAATGATAGGAAAAATCTCTTTCTTGATATGCCAAGCCGGTGGCAGTTGATGCTTCCTCCGTCACTTCTGAGAAAGGCTGATCGATCAGTGTCACTGAAGCGTACAGAGTCTCGACACAACTTTCCGCTTCGGTTGAAAAGCATAAACATCCCTATCGATATTGCTCTAACGAGTTGCAGTTTTGTAACGACATGATGGTTGTCGGTTTCCAATCGTCCACGAAAGAATTCGGTTGGAAATACATACTTGACGATATACTTGTGTTTATTAGTATTTCACCAGCCACTTGAAAGGTAGGTCAGAAAGGTAGCCTGATATTCTGCTTCGAGGTATCTGGTACAAAGTCATCACAAGTGACCCGTGCGAGGCTACAGCCAAAATCTACAGTTGCTATAGCAAGAATTATGTGAACATCTAGCGAATACAAGCACAAAAGCTGGCGTAACGTATTGCCACTAAAAATCGTTCTATTACTGCAGTGCATTATGTTTAGAACTAGGAAACGGGCTGTGCGTGTTAAAGTTTGTAGAGATGAGCACCTTACCGTGTCGATCGATTGCCACGCTCACGCGCTGGACACAATCATCAACCTGGGATATCCACGTGCACGAGAGCAATTGCACAACATTCGGACCTCGACCGCCAGATTCATCGCTTCTCAGCACTCCGATGATCAAGTCTTTCGCTATAAAACTTCAGCAGCACCCTTAAAGCCAGCCCTTGTTCATCTGAACGCACTTCGCTTACTGAAGGAGGCTGAATTCACTGCGACACACCCGGAATGAGGAGTATCCGCACACACACCTAATAACCTGTTCTCAGGGAACAAAAACCTGACCTCGAACCTCTCAATTCCACGGCTCAAATCTCCACCTGCCACACCAGGCGTGATCGAAGAATGTTCTCACAGTCCCAAGTTGACAACTTAACGATTTCCTGCGCCATACCCATCGCCACTCCCACCTTCACTCAATACTTCAGATTTCACCCACCGAAACTGGCAATCATAACAATAACCTCTGTAGAAACGGTCCGAGTCTAGTAACTGCATCCGGAGTAGAAATTTTCACCGGCACGAAGCAAACTTGAATGCTGCCGGTTGCAACGGGCCCAGACAAACTTACGGACCCATCTCTGATGCAGGAACGAATTCGACAAATCTAGACGGCGCTCGTCGCCGAGGCAACAGAAAGTGGTGACAGAAGCAGACGCTGGCGGCGCGAGGAGGGTTGTGCCTCGTTGTCGTCGTCGTCGCACCCAGTAATCGTTGAGGTCTAAAGCTATGATACCAGCATCGTCTGGACTCCGTGCAGCCACAACAAATCACATGTGTGGCTATCAGGACCCGGTGCTTAATAATTTATTTTCAGGTGATGATCAGTGGCAGTGTTAAGTTCATGTGCTTGCTTCTCATGCAGTTGTGGTCTCGTCTTCTCCGAAGCCCGGTCGAACCTCGGCACATGCGGCCGCACGCTCCCACACCATTTGGGTTCAGTGTTTACCAGTTTCATTTTTCTAAACATATTGCTACAATGATTGCAGAGTTTTCTCTCTGAGGGTGTTGAGCAAGCTTAATTATAAAATTTAAATGTTACTTTACGGCATCTGAACTTGTAAGTAAAGCATGAAGTTGTTGTAGCTGAGGCGAAGTTGAGTTTTCAAAACTGTTGGAATGTCAAACTAGTGACAGAAATAGTATGTGCTAGTTGCAGTGATTGTGAATCATGTTTCAAAAAATATGCACAAATGTGTGAATTATATCACGATTGACGCTTCATCAGCCTCTTCTACCGAGAGGTGGACCACGTCTTAGCAGTAAATTCGAATCAAAAATAGTTTGACTATTTTCTACTACAAGAGCTTGTTACTTTTTGGATGTCCATACAACAGTGTTCAAATCAGTAACAAGTAACAATAATATTAAAAAATAAAAATACTATTATTATTAGTATGATAAATTGATTGACATTTTTCTGCTTTGAACTTTTTTACAGGCATCCTTTCTCAAAACCACCAAGGTTTGAAAGTTGAGATTCTCAAACCATAACTTATTCCAGTGGCAAAAAGGGGAGAACTAGCTATAAACTTTTGAAACTTTCTCTCACTGGATTTCAGTCACAAAATATCATATGAAGTAAAATTCTTTGTCTTGTTTGAAATGTCACAAAGTAGTAACACATGGTAGCCTTGAAAAGAAGAATTTTAAAAAATCTTTTTTATTTTTTTCATTTTTTGAAGGAAAGAAAAGGGAAGTGAATGGGAGGGGGGTATAATGAGCACATGATTGTCCATTTAGGATTCCATGCCTCCACCTTGGAGACTGAGATTTGGTTTTGGCTTTTGAGGCAGGAGTTTCAGGGCAGCATGCTACCAATGCCCCTTCAAATAGATTCCAATTGCCATAATACCATGAAGGCATAATTTGCCACAAGAGGAAGAAGAAACTTTCAAACACAAAAGATTCCAACCAACATGGCCTACCCTTGTCTACACACACTTAGGGTTTCATGGATCTGTTGAATGGTCTGGTGGAGAAATGGATGCCATGCCAGTGACCATAAGGAGAAATTTCAAACAATAAAATATAATAATATTGCTTCTAAGAAGCAGTGAAAGTTGCTGTATGCATACTATTTGCCAAGTGGCCTTTGGTTTGTCGGTAGAGTACCCCAAAGACAAACCCATACAGTTGCTGATTGCATGAGTAGCCACTCTAAACCATCCCTAAATCAGGATATTTGTCCACATTTCACAATTATCATGGGGCTCAAAGTTCAAGGCAACTACCATTCAATGAACTGACCATGACCCACAAGAACAATTGCCCACCCCCCACCCCCCTAAATGGATTACATAGACAAAAATGACATAGAGTGTAATGAAGGAAATATAAAATAAATTAAAAAGATTATGGAGGACCTTCACTACACTGATGTAGGTTTTTTTGACGACTTTTGCAGCTTTCCATGCCCGCCGGCCCAGTCGTCTCAAAGCATTGATAATTCTATGGGATATCTTGTGTGCTTCTATCACATAATTGGGTTAATAAGTGCCTCACGCAACTAATATCAGAAAACTATACTTTCATTGGATTTCTATACAACTATTTTTGGATTTTTTTAGTTTCGAAAATTTATTTAAAATTCTTATAACCCAATTTGCACCAATACTTGACAAATGGGATTTTGTCAGATGTATTGAGCAAAGGATACATAGTTTTGTAGTTAGGGAAAGTTTCTATTATTAAGGTTGATCAAATAAATAGCTGTATTAGGAATTTGTTTTTTTTGTGTCACATGAATGAAAATGAAACATGTTGGTGTGTGAATGGGGCACAAAGAACATGTAAGTTTAAAAAACCATATTATGCTTGAGCTCTTTACATTCATCTCATGCCCATATTTGAATCCTAACTCAAGCATATTAAAATCCAAAACTAACTTTTGCAAATCTTGCACAAAAGTCTCTAATTTTTTAGGTTAAATTCACTGAGCTAATGTATAAGTTTCTTGCTTTTTATAATATATATATCTATATATATATATATATATATATTCTCAACCAAGCTGCTCAAGATAAGTGATTCTAGTGTGTTGAATAATTTCTGTTTAACCATGTTTCACCTTTCTGAATGATTAACTGCTCATGACATCCATAATTAAGATCTACTAGCCTTTCCTCTTTTCATTAAATGTAAAGTATTTTATGTTAAATAACTTTTTTAACATGATACAATGCAAAAACTCACAGTAAACTTTTAAGTACAATTCTTGTCTAATTTTCAAGATGCATGAAGAAAATCATGAGTCATTTATTCTTTTGGATTATGGGCACTCTTTCAATATTTCTTTAAGAAAAAAAAAAACAAAAAAAACAAAAAAACAAAAACAAAAACAAACAGTTCACAGAAAATATCTATATATACATATATATATATATATATATATTGGGAAATGGTTCTGAAGGTTTTCCCAGTTAGGTCATAAGAAATGATGAGATATGTGCTGAAATTAAATAGAAATTATAATGCTGTCTGGTGTGTGTGTGTATATCCCAATCCAGTTAATGAGAAATTGAGGAGGAGTGAATGGTCCAAGTGCACATGCCCATTTGAATATATTTTTTAAAAAATTAAGACAGTAACAAGTGTTTTAACCATGGAGGTACAAGTGATATGTGATTTCATTTCTGATCCTTTTGCATCTCACATGATATCTTTTTAAACCAATATTATTATGAAATGATTAATAAGCACTATCATAGTTACAAGTTGTCTAGTAATAAACAATGTTGTATTCACTGATTACACATATTGTTATAAAAATATGTGTGTAGAGACTCTTTTTTTTCTATTATCTTCTTATTTTCAATTTGCAATATATCGAAATAATTTAAAATTTTACAAATATTATTGTCTTTTTTGTTTCTTAATAAGTTTCTAGTGTAAACCTTTTGGTCAAAACATACACAACTGTGTCATATGTACAATACTTAATTTTTGAAACAATAATGATAATATTATCAACTTAAAACAATAACATTGACTGCAAGTTTTGAAATTATGATAAATCTTCACTTTTTGCTCTATGTGACCATTATGTATGTCTATATATAAATATATGAAGTTACATATAAATATATGAAGTTACAGCTGAATAAAACATTTGGTGATCAGATTTTGTTTGTTCTTTTGTGCTGGCTATCCCAATCCTGATTCTACCAGACTATTTCCTAAATCCTTTGTCTTAAATTTAATGACTGATCTACAAGTATAAAACAAACTAACACTGAACACTTAACAACATGAAGTTACCATCAATCTAGTTGCATACTTGAAAAATAAATCATAACTCATAATGGTCTTCATAAAAACCATTCATTAGTCTACATCACTACATTCATCTCATATATACTTGTACATTTCTCTACTATTGGTGGCTTAATTCAACAATTGATGTGGACTGTTTTACTACTCACTCCACATGTCTTTTTGAAATCCTTCATTAAAATAAAACTTCATTAAAATGAATATTCTACACATACCACAAGCTGGTAAATCTAATCATACAATCATTTAACTATGTGCATTATTTAGTGTAATATGTTTGCATTTACACTCTTAACATTATCAAAAATTGGTGAAGTGACTCAACAATCATCAGGAGAAGAAAATTTCATTTATTTATTGTTGAAGAGAAAGAAAAAGAAACAGAAAATCACCCCCTTCTGCCACATGTTTTTTTAGCTTTAATAATATGCATGCATGCATGCATGCATGCAAGACATGCTCTTTTATGTTTTGATAACTTGGCATTCCAAAGCCCTTTACTCCATCTGTTAAATCCAGTAGATATATATACATATTATTGCACCTTTACAAATTGTCTTCATTGCTGGATCCTCTTGAGCCTATAGCATCCACTTTGAAAGTGACAAAAACACAATCCAAAGTTTGTGTTGTGTATGTGAGTGTGTATATAATTTTTAAGTTTATAAAATTGTAACAAGTATGCAAAAAAATTGCATGCCAAAGTGATCCAATGTGAATGTCTTCAGTGCCCAGCTTCCTCCACATACTGAAATTGCTTGTCACATTCAGTCATCCTTTTCCCCCTTAAACATGCAAATGCTGTGTGAAATGGGTCTTTCTGTTTGGGATATGGGTAGGTACCACGTAGCACCTGCTCAAAATGCCACTTGTTCCACGTAAAAAAGTAAAAGTTAAATAATAATAAAATAATATAAAGTTGGGGGTGGGCAGGTTTAGGGCCTCCTTCTAACTTCCACCAGAACATGGTCCATAGTGGGAATCTGAGGTACATAGAGAATAAATGGAATCATACATTTGCCCCTTCGGATGCTGATGGTGCTGATGTGGTGCATTCTGGCTTCAACTTTGCCACATCACCTTCTGGTGATTCAGCTTTTGCCTAACATGCTGATGTGGCAGAGGTTGGCCACCTGACCCATCTTTATTTATTTATTTATTCCCTCATGTGGGCAGTTTGTGAGTGTCTGTGGTCAGAGGTCATGATTTGCTCAGAATAATTGAGCTTCCCATTTATACATGTATATATATGTATATTAAAAAGAAATACTTATTTTTAAGTTTTGATTTATTTTTGTTTATTTCACCCTAAAAATCTGGAAGTTTTCAACAATTTCCCCCACTCAAGAGTTAGACAAAGTTTGAACTATAAATCTTTTCAAAAGTGAACAACGAATAAATATTTTGTTAGAGGTTTGTCTGATTTTAAATATCCATCTGGGAAGCTTTTTTATTTATTTATTTATTTTTAATACATG